CTGTGTCGGTTTTATTTTCATGTTGTTTTAATGAGCTTTTAACAAGGCTGACTTTGGGCAGAGAGGAACCCAGACAAGGCTATGCCGAAGAGCAGAGACATGTCTGGGGAGGCTGACATACCCAATCCTGTGTATGTGGGGTCTATGGGGGGGTGCCCAGACTAACAGGCTCAGATCACTCCACATAAAAATCTGCCTTGTGCCACATCCTGGTTCATGGGGAAGTCTGGTAAATGCAGGCTTTTACCTAGTAAGCACAGTACTTAGATGGAGGGCAAGGTTTCATCATTTTACACTGGAAATGGCTGCTAGATGTAACCATAAATCATATACTAATAGTATATTCTTTCATACTTCTCACTTGTAGAACGCTCCTCTGCCTTCTTACTTTCCAGTCAACCTTGATCTTTAAAAATTTAAATGCAATTGTTATCTTTTGTCTTCTTACTTCCTGTTCTTTTTATTGTTCTCCTTCCTTAATAATGATGAATCATCAGGATTGACACACTGTTAAACAAAATCAAACCAAACTATAATAATGAATTAAAAAAAAAAAAAAATAAATAAACAAAAATGGTTCATGAACCAACAACAAATTCATAATTTGGAGACCCTGAATGTGTTTAGAATTTCTTTGTTCTGGAATTATTTATTTATTTAATAATTTTGTTGTCCTTGCAAAGTAGAAAGATTGAACTGTATAATAAAATTTGTAGTTTTCATTATACTGCCATTCTTCTTTTATTATAGAATAAGTAAAAAATTATTTCTTATAAAAGTAAAAAAATAAAATGGCTACCTAGCTATTTTAATCTTAATCTGTTGACATTAGTTAAATTCTGTTCTTTCACCCTAGATTTGGGTCCTTAATAGATTGGCAACATAATCCGATTATGTTGTCTGCCTCATAAATCTTGCCAAGTCTATTTATGCTGAAAAGTGTTGTACATAATTAAACTGTTACCTTGATCTTTTATTAGTGTGTTGCATTGCACTAAGCTTTACCTACTTTCTTGACTTTGAGTAGACATGCTATTAGTGCATACCTGTTAAATGCTGTTGCAATAAACAGACTTTTAATGATTCTGGCAGAGAATATGGCTCTGCTAGTAAAATTAATAGTTTTATTAAAGGCAATTCTAGAAATGTAAACAATAGCAGAAATTAATCATGTATAAATTAATTCTTGTGACTAATGGTAGATTTTTCTAATTCTCATTGTATTTGATGAAAAGTAAAATATAAATAACGAAATTTATTTTTTTACTTAATAAATCTAAACATAATTTCCTTAGAATTTACCCTCAGATATTTTCTGAACTAAGCAGAAAATAGATGAGAGAAATGACTTAAAATGTGATACATACATTCAGTTCACAAATTACGGGCTGCTGGTACACAGCTTGTCTTCACATTTTTAATGAGGTTTAAAGTAAATTATTACAAGATAATATTCTTGGTCACATTTAGGCATTATGACAGAGAAACTGTATAAAGTTCTTATAATGACTAAATCACTTTATAACATTCACCTCAATTTGAAAGTTTATTTTAAATATCTAATATTGATTTATGTACTGTTTATTATGAAATGTTTAACTGAAAAAACTTGCTTTATATATATTCTGTTTGTTATTTTTTATAGATACAATTTATTTAAATAAATGCTCATTTTTTTTTTTTTAATTAATTACATTTACTGAATGTTAGAGAAATTTCATAGAAAATATGTGTTCTCCAACAGGAATTGAACCCATATTTATATGTGAAAACCATTATTTGATCTGATGTGCTATACCATTTAGCTACAGAGAAGCAAAGTCTGAATTACTGTTTATAAACACAATCTTTGACAAATTAAACAGAAAATATATTAAATAATTGTCAGACTTAATCCATTTCGTGTTGTCATTGTTTACATTAAGATATGTTTTGTGAGCAGAAATGCTCAATCGAGAAAATCGTTGAAGATTGTGTTTATAAACAGTAATTCGGACTTTGCTAACCAGATGCTTCTCTGTAACTAAATGGTATAGCACATCAAATCAAATGACTGTTTCTGTATAAGAATACAGGTTCAATTCTTGTTGGAGAACACATATTTTCTATGAAATTTATTGAACATTCAGGTCGGTAAATATAATTAATACTGTTAAAAAAATGGAGCATTTACTTAACTAAATTGTATCTGTAGAAAATAACTTAAAAAGAGTTAATATATTAAATAATTGTCAAACTTGATCCATTTCACGTTTATAATAATAATAATTATTATTTAAAAATATGATTCCATTGCTACATAAGAGTTCTCATGTTTAAAAAATAGAAGCTAAAAAAACAGCTCTATTTCATCCTCAAGCGAATTTTGGAATAACTAATCTTGAAATTTACGAAGCTTTTTAAGCATATATACATTCTTAATATTAATTACATGAAAACGATGAAACCAATTATTGTAATAAGGGGCGAAAGGGTGAACATATTGTATCAACATATTTTTTCCTTTTGGAAATAGGTTAAGGTAGGGTTGAGATGTCTATTTTCAAGCAAAAGATGACATCAGTTTGAAGTATGTCGTCTGGTCTGTTTCAATGATATAGAGTTGTTGGCATTATTGTTATGCCATTAAATTTGTATTTGTATACCTTAAATTTTTTTTCTAAAAGGGTTGTTTGTATATAAATACGTCGTATTGAACTACAATTTGTTTTATCAAAAAACAAATTGTAGTTCAATACGACGTATATAAAGGGTTTTTTCATCTTGTGATTGGGTTGAGCTTTTAAACCTTTTGCTTGAAATTGAAAATTGTTTATAGACTATGAAATTTTAAAATTTTTAAGCTAATTATTTTAGGTGAAAATTTGTTGATGTCGGCAAAAAGCTGTTAGCTCATGTCTATGGTTTAATAAATTTTCGTTTTTTAGAAACTTAATAATGTTTAGTTTTTCATGTAGGCATAAAGGGAATGGGTCATCCCAGGTTTTACAAGTTCTTGTTCTATTTATTTTACTTTTGATGTTTTATTCATTTCTTTTAAATGCCAAAAATATTTGGATCAGGACGTCTGATTTCTATTTCTAATATTATTGAAAGAGCTTTTGTGTTGTCTCCACCTAATTTTAAATTCATTCTTCATGAATCCTATATATATCATTTCAATGTTAGGACTCTCAATGGGTGAGATTGTGCAATGGTATACCACAGATTCTATGCGGCATTTATTTTCCAATGGGCAGTCTTCCGGGTTTCTACAATCATATAATTTTAGTTTAGGGTTTTTATTAATGATATTTTGGCATGCATGTTTTTCCAGGATTTTATTATGTTTTTTATGATTCTTTCTAGATTTTCAGTGCAGCTGTAGCATAATTTTAAGGTGTTTTTATTAAGGATCTTGCTAAGTCTGCTATCAGTAGGAAAGTGTTTTTCAATTAAAGCTACAAATTTTTGTCCTACCTTAATACTAACCATTTGGTTGAATGGAGGGGTATACCAAATGATTTTTCTTTTCCTGTGTTTCTTCTAGTTAGTTCTATTGTTTCTATAATTAATGTTAGCATTTTTGTATCCATTATTTTTTAGAGCTGTGTTGTAAAAATTATTGTGTTGTTGGAAGATGTCTTCATTTGCAGAGTTTATGCTGATTCTTTGCTCTATTGATAAGGGTATATGCTTAATTGTAGATGGAGGGTGGTTTGACCTAGTGTTAGCATTAGGTTTTCTCTGTAAGTTCATTAAGTCCAGAGTTATGTCGAGGAAGTTTACCCTTTTCAATTTTGTATTGACTGTAATTTTTAAATTTAGTTTTCTGAATTCATTATATATTATCTTTCTAATTTTATCTATTTTAAAATTTGTGGAACTCCTCACTACCATGAGCCCATCATCCCTGTATAGCCCCATGTCCTTAATGTCTAATTCACAGTGAGCAGTTAGGTTGTATAGTATAAATAGACCGACAAGTTCAGAAGATTCTGCAGAGTTTAAAGATCCCATGGTGATGTCAAAATGGTCTTCAATGTTAATTCCTTGGTTCCCATTATGAATGAGGACAGATTTTTTTGCAGTCTTCTGACCTTGTTGGTCTATTTATACTATACAACCTAACCACGCACTGTAAATTTCAAGATTAGTTATTCCAAAATTTGTTTGAGGATGAAATAGAGCTGTTTTTTTTTAGCTTCTATTTTTGAAATATGAGAAGTCTTATGTAGCAATGGAATCATATTTTTAAATAATAATGATAATTTAGACTCTACGTATGTATTGAGCACTGTTTTTTTTTTTTTTTAAATAAAAACAAAAATATTAAAGACCTTTTGGATTATTAACCTAACGGTTTTTTTCCTATTTTTCTATATATTTGCACACACACACACACATATATACAGTAGCGAGCATAAAGATCAGAACAATGTTAAGAAAAAGTCTAAATGTGAAATAACATTTTATTTTAAAGCTTTATAGAACATTTTATCAAGGAAAAATAAGGATATAAAGGTAAATTATATAATTCCAAAATATAAAGATCAATAAACTTATTTTGATAAAGTTATAAGAATAATTATATAACATTTGAAAAAAATAGATGATCAAAAACATCAGAACTATTAACAAAATCATACTATTATAATGGATACATCATATCCAAATGAAAATAGCATTCATAATTCATTAGTACTTAATGTGTAGACCTTTACAGCAATAACAGCTTTTCTTTTGCTACATGAGCGAATTAATGTCTTGCATTCATTAACAGATATTTTCTCCCATTCTCCTTTCAAATTAGTCCATAGTTCTTCGATGTTTGTTGGATTTTTTCCTTAGCTCTTTCATTTAGTAACTTCCAAGCATTCTCAATATGATTCATGTCTGGGCTTTGAGCAGGCCACTCCATAACAGTAACATCTTACTCAGAAAGAAATGTCTTAACAGACTCCGTTATCTTACATAAATACAGCTGGATGATTAATTGTAGTTCTCAAATTAGGTATAACATGTTTCTTCAATATCTCTTTGTATACAGTTGTGTTAATTTTACTGTGTAGCCTAACAAGAGGTCCCGTACCAGCAGCTGAAATCATGCCAAACACCACACTCCCTCCTCCAAATTTAATGCTGCTTTTAGTGCCCTGAGGTGAATATTGTTCCTTAGGACTGCGTCGAACGAACCTTCTCCCTTCACAACCGAACGTGTTAAATTTTGACTCATTGCTGAAATGAACACAATCCCACTGTTCTTCTGTCCATATGACGTGTTCAGTGGCAAATTTCAATTGGCTCATTTGATTCTTTTTAGAAATGTAAGGCTTTGTAGAGGCTACTTGACTGTTCAAATTTATTTCATTAAGTCTTCGGGGAAATAGAGTGCCTTGATATTTTAATGCCAAGGTTAGCATTATTCTTTTAGAGATAGTGGTTGCTGTCGCAAATCGATCCTTTTTTGATTCATTACCAATCCATCTGTCTTACCTTGCAGTAGTTTTCCTAGGCCTGCCAGGTGGTTTCTTGGCTTCACATGACCCAGTCTCCTCAAGTTTTCTTAAAATACTACGAATAAGACTTAGATTTCCCCACAGTCTTTGAAATATCCCCGATCAAGGGTTTATCTTCATCACATAACTTGACTATCAGCTTTCTAAGTTCCAATGACGTCACAGATTTGTTTTGCCATGTTTACAATGCAAGAGCCAGCAAAGAGTCAGTGTAATTTAGTAAAATACCCTATTTTATATTCTTATCCTAAAAAATTTTCAATAATACAAAATAATTAAATTTTATGGATTTATTTAATTGTTCTGAAGTTTTTGATCATCTATTTTCTATTTTATTTTCATGATCCAATTAATGATGGCATGTGCCTTGGTGAGGCACTGTTTGGTGTTATGGCATGCCTTGGTAGGTTTTCTGCTCCTATGTCCTATATAGAAGCTAAAGAACACTGAACTGACTTATTGGATATATTGGAGGTATGGTACCTCCTTCACTAAACGTAGACCTCATTTAATCCAGTGTTGGTTTTTTTGTTTTTTGTTGTTTTTTTTTTTTTAAACCAAAGATAATTCTAGCCAGAACTTCTGGTTATGACCATTGAGGATCTATGGTCAGCCACTGAACTATCCACAGTGAACAGTAATGGCTTCCACATGGTATTCCTAGCACACGTGATACCATAGGGTAAAGTCCAATGTCCCTCAAATTTCAGAAATGGAATATCCTGTCTGTGATACCTGTGTTGCTCCATTTAAACTCTTATAATTGACATTGCTTTACTATGAGCAGCTAAGATGGTGTTTACAATGATTCACCATATGTCAGGGTACAACTGATATAAGTCTGGGCATTCCCTTTATGTCAATGTATGGTGACACCATCATTACCTTTATATACTGCTGCCCCTGACTTTTGGCACATCAGTGTTCATATCACTCATGGTCAACAAGTAAATGAGGTGATATTTTTTTTTTTTTTTTTTTTTTTTTTTTTTTTTTAAGCAGTTTTAACTAACCTGTTCCCCAATCATCTTTGAACAGATATAAAAATAAGTAACATGTTTAACTGAAATCACAAGATGCAATAAGTTTCTTTTTTTGCAGAATGAAAAGGGTTAATATTGGGAGATTGTTTTAAGAAAATAAGTATAGAAGTGATCATAAAATGTTCACAGTTTGTAAAAAGACTTTAGCTTGTACAATAGCAAAATAAATTTATCATGAGAACAATCCACTGAATTAAAATGATTTCAATTTTGATCATTTACTTTTCCTTACAATCATTTTTCAAAGTTTCTCATTTTTTTTTTTTTCATTTTTTAGATAAAATATTTAACTTTTTCCTTTATTTTTTTTTTATTTTTTTCCATTTTTCTATTAAATTAATCTAAGATTTTGAAGCATTCTTACTTATTCTTTAGTAATCATGAAAAATAACTATTTGGATTGGCATTCTTGCTGAAAATTTGTATTCTCTGCCTAATATCAGAGTTGCTTCCCAACACTTTTAGGATCAGTGTAACATTTGTGTTCTCTGTAAAAAGTATTTTGGTAAAAAAAAAACGCACAAGGGAAAAGAGGAAAAAGGGGAAATAAGGTGTGGAAAAGAGAAGAGATGAAAGACATGTTTTCTAGCTTTTTCCATTTGATTTGTTTTATATTTTTAAGTGAAGCTTCAATATTTTTTTTTCTTTTGGAGTGTGTTGTACACGTTGTGTTGTAAGGCACAAGTATTATACAATTAATACACAAGTGTTAGAAAGTTTCTTTTACCCTTGTAATAAAGTCGTAAAACAAGATAAAATTAAAATATAATCTTCTAATTCTATTTTAATGATGTAAATTTCTTGGAAATACTACATTTGCTAAATCTTCCCTTAATATGACAATGGTATCAAATTGAATATAATTCCATTGACTCGTTTTTTCTTCTTTCTCTCTTCAGTTTGATGCTGAATTTCGGCGTTTTTCTATCAACAAGACTGAAAATGCTGAGTTTGACCATTTCAACAATTTAGTGGAAACTCTTCATCACCTTCAAAGCATTCCATTTGTTATCACATACACAGACCCAACACATGGAGACCTCCTGCCAATAAATAATAATGATAACTTCTTAAAAGCTGTATCCACCGCCCGTCCATTACTACGGTTACAAGTGCAGCGAAAAGGTAAGTACTTATTGTTAATGCATCAATTCTTATGTGATCACACAAATTGAACAACAGTTAGTCTGGTAGGTAATTGAATTTATGTTGCCATTAAAGTAAATGCATGAAAAAACATCAATGGTCTTAGTTAAATATTATTAGATGAGCAGCTATTTTAAATATGAACTCTTTAAGGAAGTTCGGCAACTGATTATAACTTAAATGTATTCATTGAATAATATATTTTTAATTCTGCATTGCATTACTGTGTGTAAATATCCAAAAAAGAAACCATTTTTGTCTTTGGCCAAACCTGATTAATTTGCTCTCAAGATTTTACAAAAGTATCTCCATTTTGTTCTTGCTTGATTCCACAAAAACTAACTCTTTATTGGTCTATTTTGTAACCTTATTGGTTTTATTTGTAACTCAACTTAATAATTTGTACTGACCTACATTGCCTCACTTTCTGGCATGAGAAATTTCTTCATAGAAAATATTAACATGCAAATGACAGGAATTCTCATCATTGCAAATGACCTGCTGTTGTTAGAAAAGATTTATTGCGTTCTATTTTTAACTATTGAAAAAGATAAACTTTAAGCCATTTATTTAGGCCCTATCTTAAACTTTTAGGTAAAATTGTGAAACCTTACAACCAGATAAGTTTTTTTCTCTCTTTTTGTATATTTCAAATTTTAATCATTAAAAGAACAATCAAGTAGAAGATAATGAGACAGAAAAGGATTTTTTTTTCTTTCCTAACAATATTGTCTTTTGAAAAGTGTAATTGCTTTCATCAAGTACATATAAATTTATATATAGATGTTTATCTTTTATGAATTACTCTTTCAGAAATGACAAATTTTCACAAATCCTGAAAGTTTATATATAAATAAAAAGAAATAGTAATATTTTTTTTTTCCTTCTCAGGTGAAAGTTATGGTGAAGTGAATGGTTATGGAAATGGCCCCGTGAAACGACGTAATCCTATCAGCAAACTTATAAAAAGTGGAGCAGAATCATCACCAAAACCTCGATTAAAAATCGGTTTGCCTGAAGAATTTCGACGAGTTTCTGCCATCATTGATGTGGACATTGTTCCAGAAACTCACAGGCGAGTCAAACTTATGAAAAATGGTTCCGACAAACCTTTGGGATTTTACATTCGTGATGGCACAAGTTTCAGAGTAACTCCAAGTGGTGTTGAAAAGGTTCCTGGAATCTTTATTTCTCGGTTGGTCCCTGGCGGATTGGCTGAGAGCACTGGTTTATTGGCTGTTAATGATGAAGTCTTGGAAGTGAATGGTATTGAGGTCACTGGTAAAACCCTCGATCAAGTGACAGACATGATGGTTGCTAACAGTGCAAATCTTATCATCACTGTGAAACCAGTTAATCAAAGACTAACTCTAGCACCACAGCGTGGAGGCTATGGCCGATATTCACAGATGTCTAACACTTCTCAAAATTCACACCAAGCAACCAAGTCTTTTGATAGTGATATCACTGAACCAGATGATGAAGATGAGATTCATGACCATATCACAAAAGAAGATAAGGACAGTGCTGTTGTTGTATTGTAAAAATAATAAATGGGGGGGGGGGTTGAGACAATTTTTTTTTCTTTATAGTTTTTCTCATTTCTTTGCTTTTTTTTTTTTTTTTTTTTTTTTTTTTTTGGTTTGGGTTAAATTTCTTTTTTTTTTTTTTTTTTTTTAAGAAGGAAAATAGAAATTATATATTTCAATACAAATGATATAATAATGAACAGTTTATAATTATTTACTGTTGGTTGCCCTTTTCTTTTTTTTTTTTTTTTTTTTAATATTAGCATCATATAGTATAGTATTGCCATGATATTGCCTTGTGAGTTAATATTACAATCAAATCTATAAATTTTATTCAAATTATTCCTATTCTTAAAATTCAGCTTATTGCAACTATTGTTTTCTTTAAGTTAATACCTGTAGTATAAACAACAATCTTAAATAATTAACAAAGTTTTGATTAGAAGCCAAACATCTTAAACTGTTGTCTCTTTGGTTATTGAATTAAGTATATAACAGCAATTTCTATTACTTATACATCTGTTCTTAATAATACTTATATAGCTAGTTATATCTACTGGGTTGTACGTGTACATAATCATATCTATATAGATATTTTCACACAATCCTGATTTACCACTTTGCATTAAGATGATAAAATATCTCTTAATATTTAATTATTAATTTTACGATCAGTTCTCTAATAGTTTCTAATTATTAACTCACCTAATTAGTATAGCATATTTAGTTGCTTCTATTATTATAATCATTAGTACTTTACTATTATTATCTTTCTAGTTTAGTAGATTACTCATGAAACAGAAGAGGTGAGGAATTTTCTAAAATGACTTCTTTTTCTTTTTTTTTCCAAAATATAAAATATTTCTAAAAGAAATATCACAGTAAGGAGTTATTTTTGTAAAAGAAAATTTTTAAAGTCAAAAAGCAGAAATATTGAGTAAGAGAAAGTTGGGTGGGGAATCTTAATTTTTGATTCTCATTCTCCTCTTGACTTCGTATTGAATGATCTGCTGGTTTGCCTGCTAGCCTTTTACAATTATTTTCTCCTCTTTTTAGGAGGTTGAGGTTAATTTCTGCTGCTTGGCTATAACAAATGGACCAATTTATTTATTTTTTTAATTACTGTCTTAAGTGATTCTCTTTTTATCATTTTAGTTCCTGTCATTCTTTTCCCTCACCACTTTCATCCTTTTTCTCTTACATATTTTAACTTTTTTATTTCTTTTCTTTCATTGATCAGTTATTTTTCTGGATTCTTTTGCTTATTACCTTCTATTTTGTTGTTAAGCAAATACAATTTCATTATTATTTATTATTTTAATTATTCAACCACTTTTAAATTTTTTTTTTTTCTATTAGAATTAAGTTTCAAATATTCTTTCTAGATCTGAGCTTTTACATCTTTAAAATGGATTTTAAAGATAAGTGACATGATTTACAGAAATATATACAAGTTGAAGACTTGTATATATTTCTGTAAATCATGTCACTTATCTTTAAAATCCATTTTAAAGATGTAAAAGCTCAGATCTAGAAAGAATATTTGAAACTTAATTAATTCTAATTTTCCCTTTAATTCTTGCTCAGATGACAGATTTTTTTTTTTTTTGTGACAAGATTTCTTATTAAAGCTGAATCAACTTCTCATAGATTCTCATCAGAATAAAACTGGCATATTCTTTATTTCTTTTAATTTTTTTCTGTCTCTTAATTTTCATTATCTCTTATGATTACTGTCTTTTAGTGAACAATATTTTCACTTTTTATTTCTATTATTATAATTGGCTTGTTTCATTTTTATCTTTATATCATTTTCTCATTCCTTATCAAATTGAAAATAACTTTGAAATAAGAATAAAATAAAGAAACAATATTTGCTACAAAAGAAACATCATTTTTGAGTTAAATTTTCTTGACATTTTGCACAAGTTGTTCATTGTTCAGGAAGAAAATAAAAGAAATCTGAACCATAAACATGCTTCTTCTTCTTACTGGTGCTATCAGGAGTGGTAAATAATTTCTTTGTTAACAATTGGAATTTTTCTGAAACTTCCACTTTTTTAGAAAAGTGAATATTTTGAAAATATAAAAAGCATAATACTATGTGTTGGTTGCTATTTTAAAATTGATAAAATACCATTATACAAAATTTAAAGTAAATGCTTAAAAAATAGAATCATCCACTTTAAAAGTCTTTGGAAACCACAAAAATAAAACTGCATCTTAATATACAGTAGCCACTATCAGTAACAATGTAAAGAAATATCATTTAATAAGGTTCTTTTCTAAATTCATTAAACTTTTAAGGAAAATTACATTATTTTCCATTTCTTGAATATATTTTCATTTTAACTACCTATTTTCTCTTTCAATTACTTTTGCTTCAACTCTTTTTATCCAGCTAAACTATGTTTCAGTTAGAACTAAAAATGGATTTGATTAAAGGTGGAAATAAGAATCACTAATTTAACCCATTCCCTTCAGGTGACTGGAATTACAGTTCAATGACTCAAATGACAAAAATTTCTACCACAATTAATGGGTTAGCAATCCATTAATAAGACAAATTATACAGTATTTAATTTTGTGTTGAGGAGGAAAATGTTTAAAAAATTCTCTCTGCTAAAATATTTGTTAGGAACATGAAGCAACTCATAAAAATCAGATAAAATTAATGTTAAAAATGCATAAACCAATTCTGGCATAGAATTAATACTTCAATTACGTAAGTATCCTTATGAATATATACACACACACACAAGATTTATTCTCATGAAGAGTGAAGTAGATGATATGGTCATAACTTTTTTAAACCGCTAAAAGTGTAAATCTAAAAATGCTGTAGGAATACATAAGAATTAAACATATTTTTTCATCAATTCATAATTAAGTCTGTTTCAAAACAAAGTAATTATTTGATCACATCAGCCTCCAGCAGAAATAATCCAGTCTTGAAAGGATAAACTAAATGTTCTTAAAATTCTGTGTCCTAATCTATTAACCCAAAATTGCTTTAGAATATTTAAAATATATGAAGAAATGATATCAACAAAAACTCATTGTGTTGATATCAGAATAGACTTTAAAATGGTGTAAAATTTTGATCTAATATTAGTTGTTATATTTATGAAAGCATACAATTTTTCAAATGATGTACATATATATAAATATATCTAAATGTATATTATTTTGTGTATATTTTTAATACAAAGACTAATAAATGTATTTCTATTTTTTTTTATATGACTGTATAGAATATCACATAAATATACAAGGTCTGTCTGAAAAGTTAAAGGTCATAAACAATTTATTTCAATTCCAAACAACAAACTACATGGTTTCCCCTTCAAAGTAATCCCCCTCAGGTCTAATGCACTTTTCCATTTTTCTCTCTCATGCTTCTATGCACTGCTGGAAGGATTCTTCTTGGATGCTCCCCAACTCTATTGTTATAGCCCTCTTGATGGCCTCCATGCCTCCAAAATGGGCTCCCTTGATGTGCCCTTGATCTTGGGGGAAAAGAAAAAAAGTCACACACAGCAAGATCAGCTGAATAGGGAGGTTGTTCTAGTACATCAGTGGTGTTCTGTCTGGCACTGCATTGCTGTGCTCCTTGTGGCCCACTTTGAGCCTCTTGTGCCACTCTAAAAGTTGTGTGCATGACATGGTGTTATCTCCATACACTTGCTGAAGCAATTCAAGTATGGGATGGAGTTTTCCCCAACTGAACCAAAAATTTTGGGTTTATTCATTACTTTATTTTTATTGTTCATTCCTCAGTGCTCTTACCTGAAGGACCTGAAAAAGAGGAGTTAAAAAAAAAAAAAAAGGCAATGGTTGCATAAAGTTAAGATTACAGTTCTGTACTCCCAAAACATCATGTTAGATGATAACACAATCCTCCTATACCTATTTTACCCATAGCTCACACAACACATTACTTTTCAGATAGACCTAGTATGCTTATCTGCAAAGAATATTTTGAAAGTAAGTCAAATAATCAAATGAAATGATTTTACATGCAGTCTTTGATCATATGCAAACAAAAATATATTTAGCCCATTTACCAAAGCCTCTATAATCAGTTTTCTATAACATTTTGAAGTTAGTTACTATAAAAATTTTATCTAATAAAAATGAACAATGTGAAAATAATATTTGAACAGATGTTGGAAGTCTTGTAGCTATCAGCTGCAATCTACTAAATAACGTGTCTTGGCATTCTCGGTAATTCTTTTGGTTAAAATACTTTTAAGAGGTAATATTTTATTACCAGCTATATGTATAAGTAAGATATTTGAACACTTTTATATAGTTTTTAGAGTGTATTATCTGCTTCCTTTAAGTTTTTTTTTTTTTATTATCATTATAGATCTTTCATGATACAGTTAATTACTTTTTGAAAATTCATTAAGGGAAACAACATAAGGGAAAATATGGTGAGGAAAAAAAAATTGTTTATATATGAACTTTTAATTATTATGCCATAAATACTTGGATAGTAATTAATCTGAAAATATATGCACATATCGACATATACCAAGATATTCTTGTTTATATATTTTGAATTCTGGGTGTATACATTTACATATCTACATATTTATATTCTCAAATCTGAATTTTGAACTTTTTTTTCTTTTCTTTTTTTTTTTCTTTCTTTTAGCAATATTATAATTGGAAATTTTTTTTTAATTTTCTACTGGAATCTGTTCTATTTTTTGTTTTTTTTTTTTGTTTTTTTTTATTACCCTCTCTCTCTCTCTCTTGTATGTTTGTATGTGTGTGTGTTTAAAGAATGTTGTTAATTTATGCAAAATATCTCTTGAATATTTCAAAAAATTATTTTCATGACCTGCAACATGCTTAGTCAGATATGCTTACTAAAGATGTGGAAAAATAAATATTTAAAAAAGATATCTCAATCTATATTCTTGCTTTTTATACAAGAATATGAACATAATTTGACTCTTGCATATTTGAGCCAGTCGTAAATATAGCTTCCCTGAGGAAAGTTTCAAAGTTTTAAATGATGTTGCACTTCATATGGAGTATTTTTGTAAAAACTTAAATGATTAAAGAATAATTGTTAGCATATGATTTTTTAAAATATACATTCTTTTTATTTTAAGTTATGTTTAAGAATTTTTTTTCTCAGTTCATAGATAATTGTTTGTTAGGAGCAAAAATAATAACCAGTCAGGAAAAAGATGTGTGAGAAATAATGTAATTTTATGATTTTCATATAAATACTTGGCTTTTAATTAACTTTTTAACTAACCCTAACCCTGACATGAGCATTGGTAAGTGTGGTAGTCTCAGAAACTACATTCTTTTCAGGTGCTCAATGATGTGTCTTTAGAAATTCAAATGGCTGTTTTTATATATATATATATATATATATATATATATATATATATATATATAATCTTTGTGATTCTGAAAAGTAAGAATCACAATGACAAATGTTTAAAAAAAAAAATGTAACTTTTGTTGGAAAGTGTGTGTATATAGATTTAAAAAAAATTTTTTTTTTTTGTTTTTTTTTTAATACACTCAAATTTTCATAAAAAACAATGCTAATTTTTATTTTGTCCCCTGCAAAACCTAAAAACCTTTTTTAAATTGCTTTTGGATATTTTTTTTAATTACTTTTTGAATATTTTTCATATTTTTTCCTCATTTATTCAGTTTTACATAAGGTTTCCAAATTATTCCCTATTTTATGATTAATGAAATGTGTATAACCATAATTTGAATTCTACTTAGGTAAATAATGTACAAAGAGAAAATATTGAAATTTCTTTTTCTTTATTTGTTTGCAAATGAATACAATGCATGTGAATGCTTTTATATAAATATGAAAACATAGACTGTATGGTGTATGACTTTCCTTAGAATTGAAAACCTATCAAAGTATTTCTTGATTCTTCTTAGCTTAATAAAATATCTATCCATGATATATTTTCAAAGATGACATGGTTAAGATTAATAATCATATACACACACTTGACTTCTTTTTTTTTTTTTTTTTTTTTTTTTTTTTTTTTGAGTAAATGTGAAAGAAGAGAACATCTTTGAAACCATTCCTTTATACAACCTTTTTTATATTTGAAAATAAAAATACAAAAAAAATAAAAATAAAAATTGTAGTTGAAATTTTATGATTAAAACTAATATAAAACAATTTTCAAAATGATGTTTTGTCTCATTTTCCATTTTTATACTGTATTTTTAAA